AGTGCAACTAAGGAACTGAATTTTAAAGGAATTTGCATTTAAATTGAAACAGCGTCATGTGCTGATGGCACGAGTGACCAGAGAATAGGGGTCTGGGCCTCTTCAGGGGAGACATCAAGTTCAGGTTGGGTGCCTAGGAAAGGGCTGGGGGTGCAGAAGAATCCTTGAGTTGGGTGATCACTTCCAACTTTGACCTGCCGGGGTCCTCTGCACTCACTGGCTTTTCTTCAACATGGTATTTTCATCCTCAAACCACCCAGCCCCTCCTGCCCAAGCTATGACAGGACAGGGACAGCATCTGCCCAGGCCTCCGGGAACAGGTGCAGGCTGGCCCTGCAGTCCAGTCCCAGGATGAGCTCAGCATTTCTCTGCAACATTCTGTTTGCATTTTGTTTTCAATCAGCCTAAGAAACAGGAAGCTGCTTTCAATTGTTCCCTGCCTGGGAGTGAGGCACTCAGCTTTCTCCTGGCTGGTGTTTTCAGAACAATGGAAATAAATCTGATGTAATGTAGCAGAACTCGACAAGGGACGGTTTCCCCCTTAACAAATACTCATTTGAAATAGTGCCCAAACCCTGCACGAGGAGCGATCTATTTCCCACAACAGTGTTCCACCAAAACCCATTACTAATTCCACAACTCAAATTAAAACTAACAGACCTTGAAGGCTGGGCCTGACACTCTCTGCTGACAAGGAACAGGAAGGGTGGGGGAAGGGCCGGGCACACGCCTGTGTATGTGTTTAATTGCACTGTTTAACACATCGAGGATAATTTAGTCACCCAAGTGGAGAAAATAAAACACTTAACTGTTCTCTGGTGGAAAAAGCCCCGTGTGAGCACCACTTTCAGTCCTAAGCCACCTCAGCACACCTCGGGGTCCTGGAGGGAGTAGGGAGGAGAAGAGGGCAGCTGAGGTAAGGGAAAGAGAGTGGGGGGCAGAGAGGGGGTTGCCCTGTCCATGGGCAGCAGCAGCAGTTCCTGCCTTCCTATGCTCTGGCAGGCTTGGCGTCTCTTTGGCAGTCACTGGACATTGAACCCAGAGCACTGGCAGGTGATGATAGTTCAGTTCGAGTCCTTGCTCCTTGGCGTTGGTTCCAGATCTTGAAAGCGAAGCAGATTGCTAGCCCCCTCCCCCGTGGTGTGGGGTGGTGGATGCGGAGGGGCGCAGTCACCTCAGCAGCCCAGGGGCAGATCCTGAAGGCAGGCGTGTGGTACCAGGGGTCTCGGCTAACAGGCTGCGGTGGGCTCTGGCGAGGGTCTCTGAGCTGCGGGGAGGTCCTGGCCCAGCCTGACCCGCAGGTGCTGGGTGGGCATAACAGGGCTGACACTCACTGTTCTGGGGACGAGTACAGCCCAAGGGACCATCCTTGCTGAGAGAAATTGAGTAGAGGTCCTGGCCACTCCGTTTTAAAGGTCCCTTGTGGCTGGCCTGGCAGAGTAAGAATGTTAACCACATAGACCCCATCTCTCTCCCAGCCCACACTTAGAGGCAGCCCGTTGCGTAGGGCACATGGCATTTATTTCATCTTACAGCCATCACTTCCATACCCCTGCACCATCTCTTAAAATTCAGCTTGTTGGGCCTCCCCAGTGGCGCAGCGGTTGAGCGCTGGGTTGCGAAGCTGCCCACAGCCTCTGTGGCACCGGTTTGATCCCCGGCTGCTCCCCGGCCACTGGAGGAGGGTCCCACATGGGGCGCAGACCTCTCCTGCCGCCCGCTGCTCCCCTCAGCAGTGTACTTCGGTCCTTCTGCCTGCTCTGCTCCCCGCTCTGGCTCTGGTGAATTCTCTCACCCTCCTGCACTTCTGACTGTACCCAGTGCTTGTATAAACAAACAAATAAATAAATAAATAAATCTTTAAAAAAAAAATTCAGCTTGTTTAGGGCCTTCCCTGGTGGCACAGCGGTTGAGCGCTGGGCTGCGAGGCTGCCCACAGCCTCTGCAGCGCCGGTTAGTTCCCCGGCCGTGGGCAAGGGTCCCACAAAAAAAAAAAAAAAAAAAAAAAAAAAATTCAGCTTGTTTATTAGCTAAATAGACTGACACTGAGGCCATGCAGGAGCTGGAAGAGATGACCTTCAGTTGCCTTTCAATAACAGCCTCACAGATTATAAGAGGCTGGAAAGTCCCTTGGGAATCCCCTTGTTCACCTGTCTGAATTCTTAGGCTAAGGAAATGGGTTGGGCAGGTGTTTATGGTTTTCATTGGGAGAACCAGCTTTGCAGATGGGCCACCACATGAAGCTTCATATCATATCGCAGAAATTTTTACTCAAGAAGGTGCAAGGCAGGCCTCCCCTGGTGGCACAGGCGGTTGAGCGCCCTGCTGTAAAACTGTCCGCAGCCTCTGCAGCGCCAGTTCGATCCAGGCCGGCTGGCGAGGGTCCCACATGGCATGGCAGACCTCTCCTGTCTCGCCCGCTGCTCTCCTCAGCAGTGTATTTCGTCAGTCTGCCTGTTCTGTTCCCCACTCTGGCTCTGGTGAATCCTCTCACCCTCCCACAAATCTGGCCTGTACTCTGGTTCTTAAATAAATAAATAAATAAATAAATAAATAAATAAATAAATAAATAAAAAAGAGGTGCAAGGTAAAAATAATGCACGCTAGAGGAGGGCCCTGGAAAATCAGGGGTGAGGACGGAGGAGAGATAGAAGTCCAGGCTGGCTGTGTTTCCAAGCAACTGTGGTTAGAAGTGTGGGCGCCCTCAGTCTCCTTGATTTAGCCTTCTCAAAACCCTTTCCGTGCAAATCTGAATCATGACCCCAAGCAGGGAGAGCAAGAGGCAAAGTTCATCCAAGTGTTGGACCAGAGGACATTTATATGAAGGGGCTCCCAGCAACAGCTCCAGAATTAGTAGCCCACATGCAGTGCTTTCAAAAACACTTTTCCAAGAGATGCAGTCCCGGGGCAGTAGAAAGCCCAGTATCCTCTTGGTTCTGCTCTGGTCTTTTGCACGGCCTTGAGCTTTCTCATCTGCTGCAGATGAGTTGTTTTCTCTACCACATAGAGCCTTGAGAGAGTCAAGGATGCACCCAGATTCACCTCTTCCAAAAGAGAGAGATGGGATGGACTAGTGTATCTGAGGACCCCTTTATGGTCATCTCATGGGACAAAAAGGAGACCCCTCCCCAAGATCAGGGAACAGTAGAACCTTGCACAGGTCCAGGAATGATCATTTGGTCTGTATCAGGCAAATTTTATGTGCTGTCTCAGGTTCTCTCGGCGTCCTCCACTTCTGAGACTTTTAATTCCCCCCCCCCTTTTTTTAGCCCTAACCAAAGAAGTGGCTTAGCTGACCATTTCTGGACTCAGAGGAGGAACCACATCTGGACTTTCTAATGGCTGCCAAGGTGACCAGATGGTACAAGTCAGAAGTTCTGGAGGGTTAACTCCTTTAGAGGTAAATTTGGAGCGCGAGATAAGAGACAGAAGGAGGACGTATGTGAATTTCCTCTGCAGCCCCTCTTGGTTGGACTCTTCCAAGGCAGTTTCTGCAAAGCTGGTGCACAGATGTCCAGCCTTGGCCAAGCAGCCGCTGTCTCATTGTGGAGGTGACGCGCTGCCTTGCAGGGCTTGCCATCCTTCTCGGCCCGTTCCCAATCCCTCCATCCCACTCACCTTATCACTCGAAGTGAGGTGTCAGCACTCAAGCTTTGTTTTGTAGAGAACCCATACTAATATAACACGAATGGTAATAATTAAAATTTCTTGAACACCAGACACTGCTATGTTACCTCACACCAGACACTGCTATGTACAAATACTACCTTTTCGATCATCGTATGAGGTAGGTTCCTTTTAAACCATACCTTAGGGATGAGGAAACAAGGGCCCAGAAAGGCTAAGCAATATCCCAAATGGTGGGAACATACTGGGGCGGGGGGGTGTCAAGCACAGAGTGAGATCTTGGTACCAGCAGGTGATCCATTCATTTTTATATTTCTTGATAGTGCCTTTTTTTCTAAGGTATTCTTTCAAAGGAGCCACTCATGGAGGACAACCAAGCAACCAGAGAACTAGACAGGGTACCAGGAACATCATGCCTCTAGATCTGTTATTTGCAGCTGGTATGAGCTTAGCAGCAAATCCCTCACCAGGTACTTTATACCTTTTCCATCTGCAGAGTGGGGTTATTGAGCTCGTGTTATATGTTACTCTTGCTTATAATCCAGTTCGTAGATTATATTCTTTTCAACCCATGTGCTAATGATTCTGTCCTCCTGCATCTATCAGACACAAAAGCAGTTATATTCCGCTGGGTACAGGTGGGGTAAGTCAACAGGATAGACTGATGGGAGACCCAGTTAATGCCCCCTGTAGTTACAGTTGGGTTATCATCCACCGGCTTTTCTGTTGTCCTGGGACACAGACCACTTTGCTGACATGCAGGTGGCATTAACTGGGTCTCCCATCTGTCTCTCCTCTGGTGAGTTTAGGTTCAAGCAACAGCTGCAGTTCTGTCTCCCTAGGAACAAGATGGCCTCTCAAAGATCACAGAACTTTAGCCTCAAGGCAATGTGCACTAGCCAATTTTATTCATGTCCTTATTAAGCAATATCAATAAAAACAAAAGGCAAGGCCTGGGTCCTATTTCTCCTTTCAGCAAATATTTACTGAACACCTACTATGTGTCAGAAACCATACAGGGTGAACAGAGAAGATACGATTCCTACCTTCAGGCTATCCCTTATGGCCAATGTGACCCTCAAGGTTGCTACTGTCAATAAGCAGAGAACAAAGGTGAGATCCCTCACTGTCTGCGATCACCAAGGTTTAGCTTCTCTGAGTCAACTCATGCCTTTATCTTAGCTTTTCTTCAAGCCTACCCAGGAACCATTTGAATCAGAAATGCCTGGTTTTCAGAGCTATTCAATTCATATCTCTGGGGTGGAGTGTCAGAATCCACATCATTAAAAAGCCTTCCAAGAAAATTCATATCTTCCCTAAAGTTCAGAGCAATTTTGGCCCAAAGCCCTTTGTGGTCACCACTCATGCCCTACCTGTTTGCCTGACAAGCGAGTGTGATGGATCGCTGTCGCAGGCCCCGCGGGGAGCGGGGAGTGGAGCTTGCTCTGGGCAGGTGCCTGGTTCAGCAGCAGTAATTTTGTAGGAGGGAGAGTGGTGGTGTCTTTGGAGAAAGACCAACAGGCAGTGCTGGCATCTGCTCGCCTGCTTCCCCTCGGGCAATTTCTTATATGAGCACACCAGGTCGACTCCACCTTAGTTAAACAAGAACTCTGGCATTGGGTCTTGGAGCGTCCTGGCCAAACTGCATTGGAGATTTCACAGTCAATCTCCTGATACCCCGCCCCCAGCCTAGCTCCACCGGATCTCACTTAACACCCTGAGGCCCTGACTGCTGATTTCTTAGCTGCCTGGGCTATGCCTTTCACTATTTGTTTCTTTATTTCACTTCTGGGAATTTGGTGTTTCTACAAATTCTCTCCCGGAGCAGAGAGGGAATCTCGAGAAAAGTCTCAGGAAGGCAACCTTCCTTCATGCCTTGGTACCCCACTGGGGTCCGTTGCCACAAATTGCAAGCTGAGAGCGGGCACTACAGATAGTCATACCACACGCTCCTTCTGCTCGAGAAAGTATGTTCTTTCAAAAATAAATCACAGAACTCATGAGCCCTTGGGCCCGTGGAGGCCCCGGGAAGTTCTCTGCATCATCCATGCTTCATGGGTTGGGGAGGAAATGATGAGGCCTGCAAAGCAGATGCTTCCAGAACCCTGAGTGGCTCCCTTACAAAGGAGAGAAGGCTAGAAGAGAAGGATAAAATAGATACAGCATGACAAGAGGTGGCAATCACTCGGAACTGATGTGGCTGAATTCATTCCCAGAGGTGATAGGTAGGAGCCACAGCTGCAGGAAAAGAAGTGGCGGGTGATGATTCCGAAAACCCCAACCACACACGGGGATTTTGACACAGTGCCTAAGGAAAATCACTAAAGCTTCCTGCTGATGCTGATGACTTGGCCTTCTCCCATTTCGTAACTTTTTTTTTGCTCCCCGAGAGCAGGAACTACTGTCCCAGCGCAGACTTTGGGAGCATTGAGACAAAAGGGAAATTGATCTCAAAGGAGTGGTCTTGGTGCCAGGAGACAAGCGACTCTGGGTGCCAGCTGTGCTGCAGTGCAGGCTTAGGTAGGGGCCTCCATAAAGACCTTTTTACAACTCCAAGGAGCGTTTTCTTTTACTGGCTTCACTGGCAATTTGGTGTTCTCCCTCCCATTCACCTGCGTTCTGTCGAAGCCAACTCCTGGTAGTTTATATCTTCCAGAGAATTCTAGCCTGGGTCTATAAACCAGGTAACCTCTTACAGTAATTTTCTAGCTGTACTTCTTCCAAGTCTGCAGCTGGCATGGGCTGAGATGCAGCCCTTTGCTCCCCTTGGGACCCACCTCCCCACTCCCTGATGCAGGGTGGCCTTCCCCGCTGTAGGGGCAGGACAGGCCACTGAGCAAGTTTCCTATGATCCCATGCAGACGGGGTAAAGGAGGAGAGAGTCCTGGAGACCTCAGCAGGTTTGCAGGCTTTTATTGGGATTTACCAGGTACACAGCAAGCAAGGGTGTTGGGGGCCCGGAGGCTGGCAGTCTTCCCAGCCCCCAGCAAATCCTCACTCTCTCTGGGCTCTCCAGCCTTCTCTCACATTCTCTCTGCTCTTCTCATGGCTCTGCTTCCCTCTCAGCTTCTCTGCTCCTCTCTCAGCTTCTCCTGGCATCCCCGTGACGCCGCCCTTAAAAGCACAGTCTCAGCCCAGGTGAATCCCATCTACCTATGCCCACATCCTACTCCAGGTGCCGCCATCAGGCATGCATTCAGGACCACAAGGATCCATCATCTCTCCTGATGGCGAGAGGGCAGAAAAGCCTGACATTTTTCCTCACCCTACACTTGCACACCATGGCTGCCGTGTCATGAGGCCCACAGAGACCCACCTGTGTCTGTGCGGCTGTCCACACGTGGGCCACCAGGCCTGCACCTCCAGTGCCCACTGGATGAAGAAAGTGTGGCCATCACCACAGTGCTGCCTTCACCCCCATCAGTGCCACGGCCACACCCAAGCCTGCCACTGTACCCACATGGAAGGCATTTCATGGTCTCAATGGGCAGCAGAAATTACAGAGAAATTGCTCTATTTTGCAACTTTCTTTGAGCCAGAAGCAAATCCAAGACAGACTGGGCTCAGAACCCTGCCCTCCCTTAAGGCCCGGGCACCAGTCCTTGAACCAATCTCACCTGCAGTCTACCTTCCTTTGGAGGGACTTCTTCCTTGGGAGCCTCTATTCATTCATATAAATATACTCCTGAGACTCTCCTTCTTGCCGGCCTTTAGTCATGCCTCAAAATACCAGATCCTGGGTGTAGGATAAGTGAAAATTATCAGGATTTCCACCCTCCTGCCATTAGCATTAATGATGGATCCCTGCGGTCCTGCATGCATGCTAATGGCGGGCACCCGGAGTAGGGTGTGGGCATGCATAGTGGGCACACCTGGGCTGAGAAACTGGGCTTATAAGAGTGGCATCAGGGGGACGCCAGTAGAGTAGCAGAAAGAAGAACGAGAACAGAACCAGCAGAGCAGCGCAGGAGAAGCAGAGAACAGAGCCCAAGAGAGAAGGCCAGAGAGCCCAGAAAGAGTGAAGACTCGCTGGGGGCTGGGAGGTCTGCCAGCCTCCTGGCTCCCCGGGCCCCCTGCCTGCTGTGCACCTGCGTGCTGCTCTATATATGGTATAAAAAGCTCAATAAAAGCCTGAAAATCCACCGAGGGGTCCAGGACTCCCCTTTACCTGTCTGCCTGGATCATAAAGATCCTGCAACTGTGCCTTCCTGCCACTACACCAGGGGACACACTCTTCTCCCTACCTTCCGCCCTTCTCACCTTCTTGCCTCCCCTCCCCCCTATTCTATCTTTTCGCTGGCTTCCCTCCTCCTCCTTCATCCTTTTACAATCTATTTCTTGTGTGGCCCCCTGTGTCAGGCACTATGCTAGGCCCAGGAGACTCAGTAGCAGACCCACGGGTGCAGTAGGCACCCTGGTTGCCTACAGGCTAGTGAGAGAGACACATGAAACTACTTTTTATCCAAAAAGTAATTGGATAAATTACTCTCTGATCAGCACTGTAAAGGTGATCTACGTGTCAATGAGAAACTAAAATAGGGACCTCTCATCTCAGGTGAGGAGTCATGTGAGACTGACTGAGAAGTGATGGATGGGGAGAAGCCCCCCAAGAGAAGAGGGTGGTGGCAATGGTCCAGGCAGGAGTGAGAATGGCGAGAAAGCACAAATTCCAAACAGTCTGATGACTTTTCACAAAGTGAAACCCAAGATATCAGCACCCAGATTAAGAGACAGAGCAGTACCAGAACCCCAGAGCCCCTTCACAACCCCTTCCTAGCACTGTCCTCCAGGACTCCCTGAGGTAAACTGTTCCCAGCTCTGTTCATTTTGATAAGCACCATCCTGTTCCTCCTTTATTTAAGAAAACAAACCCAGAGTTGAGATAGTGAATAAAATCAAATATCTCTGTAAAATATGACAAAGGAGACCTTTGCAACAGGGAAAACAGGTATATGGAGTGTTTGCCAGGTAGTTAAGCAGATCATTTAACAGATTCATGTACTTTTGCATTCCTCTATGGGTGGAAAAAGCTAAGTCAACATTGTGAGGTGATTTTATGGGTGCCAAACAGTATGAAGTGATGGGAGAGTCCCCAGCTTGAGTTTGTTGTGCTATGAGCTACCTTCAGAAAGACAATAGGCCACACAATTCATGTTCTTAAACTCAGAGCAATAGATGACAAATACGACATTTTCAAGTGAAGCGTTACAAACACTCAAGTTTTCAAACCTAGGTGTCCTAGCCCTACCACTTTATCCTGGAATTTTGGACAAGTTACTTAACTCTAAGTCAGTTTCCACAAAGCTAAGATGGTGATGATGATAATAAAAGAATCCAACTCATCGGACATTATGAGAATAAAAAAAAGCAAGGGCAAGGAAATTGCTTAACACTAAATCAGGTACACCGAAACTATTCAATAAATGGTGCCTATTATTAAACCAGACAGAGAACCTGACTGATGGAAGTTCTGGAGAACCAGGTTAGGAGAGAAGCTGGGACTTCCAAGGTGGAAACCGTCAACACTCACAGGAAGGATAAAGGTGATAACCCAGACCAGGGAAGCAGAGCCTGACAGTCTTAAAGTTCTGTTTCAGTGACAAGTGAGTCTCTATACTGTAAACTTTGTAAACTTACTATTACACACAGTAGCATGTTAGTCTACATGCTATACTTTATGAAAGAAGCCAATGGAAATGGGAAGAATATGTTTGTTTCTGGTGTTGCCCCATGTTGCCTTACTAGAAAGAGAGAAGCATTTGACCAAGAAGAGATGAGCTCTGCTGCTGCTGCAGAAATCTTAGTAATAGAGGGGCTAAAAGGGAATGAGTCCCTTCTCTGCCTCTTGATGCGGTGGCCATGGTGGACAGGGTTGGACAAACTCAAGTCCTGCTTGTGCTGAAGGAGCAGGAAGTCAGCACCCCCAGTGATGTGTGTTTGTGTCAGGATTACGTGGGGCTTGTTCAGACCCTTTTAATGTTTCGGCATCTCTCAGGGGGAGCTCTTTTGGTGAACACCCAGATCCATGAAGGCACAGATCAAGGACGGATATTGGTGTGGCCTGAGGATGCACAGATCAGGACGTACTGGGATGACAAACAGGTGAGGGAGCAGGGTTGGGGATATTTCGGCTATTTTCTTCTTTGAATACATCACCAGATACCAAGTTTTCAGGAATCTGTGGCAAGAAATCTTAGGTCATCCAAAAGATGTAGGTAGGCTAGGTTGGGTGGAAGTAGGCTGTTCTCCCTACTTTGATTTTTAATTAATCCAGGGACCCGTCCTTCTTCCTGAAAGATGACAATGGGGTAGGGTAGGGGCAGGTAGAGATAAGAAATGTTCAAAGTTAATGCAGAATGACTTGAAGGCAGAGGAAAGGCATTTGGGAAACAGGTGG